GAGGGGCCGGGTTTGTATTTTCTTTTTTCAAAAAAAAAAAAAAAAAAAAAAAACGAAAAGAAAATGAATGTACAATGTTGACAAAAACAACCAAAACAAAAAAAAAACGATAATGATTTCCGTTCATTTTTTTTCTGCTTCCATTTCTGTGGAATCATTTCGGAAAAACGATTCAAAATGGATAATAATAATAGTAGTTTGTGTGTGGGTTTATGTTGAACGAATGGATAGATGATGTTGACTTGGTTGATCAACTTGAATCCATGTTTTTTTTGCAATGTTAGTTTTAGCCAAGTAAAGTAAAAGTAAAAGCTGTATAAACAAAATGATCGCTTTGCTTTTCGTTTATTCTTAGTCATTCATTCATAGTGGAAAAACATTTTCTCAGGTTAATTTGTCACCAATGAGAAATAGGAATGTTGTTGTTGTTGTTCGGATGGGTCATCAATCAACTTGACAAAGTTTAACAAAGACGAACAACAACAAAAAAAAACTTGTAAATATCTATCGTACGGTATTATCTTAATCAATATTTAATCAAATAAGCTGATTGATATTTTGTTCAAGTTTATTATAAGTTTTTTGTTTTTTTCTTGTTGTTGTTGTTGGTTGAATTCAATTCTTTACAACAACAACAACAACAAAAAGTTTCACTTTTGGAATTGATTTGATTGTTAATGACTAACAACAACAACAACAACAACAAGATTATAAAGTTTATAATTAAGATGATGCTTGTTTGTTTGATTAACAAATCAAGTTTTTACATTCGTTATCCAAAAAAAATGATAATATTTAAAAGCAAAATTTTTTGATAAAGTTCGTCTTCTGTTCTAGCCAAAAAAAAAACAAAACAAAACAAACGAAGATCAATATTGATCTTTCGATATTAAATGCATAATTTATTTTTATCCAGAAAATCAAAACAGTTATTTTTTTGTGTGTGTCTGAATGGTTGATGATCCAATGATGAATGTCTGGGCGTCAGATCATACGATGTATTAATACGATGTCGATTACGAGACTTGAATACTAAAACACGAAACAAAACAAAACAAAAAAAACTTTTCCTATTGTTTTCATTGCATACAATTCAACAATACACACGCATTCGGTTATTGATATTCTTTTCTTTTATTTCCGATCGAACAATAATCTTTTCTTTTCTTTTTCTGGTTATGAATAATTTAAGAAAATAACAAAACAAAACAAAAATCAATAGAGAATAGAAAGAGAAAGAAAAGAAATTTGATATAATAGTTATTTAGGTGAAGGTAAGGTAAATAAATATTATTGTTACATTTTCTGTGGAATCAATCATCTAAAGTTTATTGATTTCTATGCGAAAAATTGAATCAATTTTCATTAGCAAAACATGGATTTTTTTTTGTTCTGATTCTGGGTTATGAATTTCATTGATTTTGTTTAATATTGTTATTTTTTTGATTATCTAATGTCATTTTTTGTTTTATTTATTATCCTTTTTTCCATTTAGGTGATTATTCATTGGAAATATCACCAGTAAGATTAGAAGATGATGCTGTATTTCAATGTCAAGTTGGTGCTGTTGAAGGTGTATTAGGTATACGTTCACGTTCAGCACGTTTTACTGTACAAGTGCCTCCTGAACCACCTGTTATTATTGTTACACATGCTCATTCACATGCACAGGTTTATAAATCATCATCATCATTATCATCCGATGATTCTTCTTCTTCTTCTTCAACATCATTAACCGTATCATCATCCGAATCATCAACAGATGATCAATCTAATCAACAAAAATTATCATCGAATAATGATGGTAATGATCATATTCTACGTACAACAGCCGGTATGACAATTGAATTGACTTGTGAAGCACATGGTGGTCGTCCACCAGCCGAGGTAAGTGTGTCTCAATATTTTTTCCATTCATTCATTCATTCATTTAATGATTTTTGTTTTCTTCGGAAACAAAAAAAAACCAACCAAAAAATTCTTGAACATAATTCTGTTTGTTCAATCACACAATTACCCGAACAAAAAATCGATTCACTAGAAAAATCATCATCGAAACTTTTTCCTTTCTTATCTGATAGAATAAAGATTCAATCGATGCCCACCATCAACTTAAATTCAATTAATTTTTTGGTCTTTTTTTTTGCTTGTTCGATCATGTTATATGGATTAACAAACAACAATTTTTTGTTGATTTTTTTCATGTCTAACATCATCATCATCATCAAAACTTAAAGCCCGAAGATAGCTTGATATCAAATAAAAAAAATAGAAATAGAAAAGTTTGATCGAAAATCGAACTAAATGCTTGTGTCTGGTGTGTGGTGGTATGTTTCAAATAGTTGATATTTGTCGTTTTATGGATGTTATTCATGGATCAAATTAATTCTTCAGGCTTTTTTTTATCATTTTCATTTTCATTTTCGTTTCCGAACCAAAAAGGAAAAAAAGTTTCCGATCTCTTTTCCCGGACAATTTCGATGATGAAATAACTTTTTCCTCGCTCTCGCTCTTTGCCTCTGTACAGAATATCAGAATATCGATATCGGAATAGAATCAGAAAGAATTGTCAAATTCCGATCACCAAATACAATCATTCATTTCGAGTTTCTTAGTTTCTCTTCTTATTTTATTTGAAAGAAAAACTTGTTCACTTGACATTTTTAATCTTTATTTTTTCATCTTGAAAATGAAAAAAATTGAAATCAATGAAAGTCTAAAAGTGAAAGAAACAAAATTAATTGGTTCCGGTTCCCAAAAATCATTTTGGTCAGGAGATGTTCCTTGTTTCATTTCAAAAGTTTCTTGATGCGAATCAAAAAAGGATACCATCACCAATCAAATCATTGCTTTCAAAGTAATTAGCTGATTGTGTGTCTGATTGTGTGTGTTTTGTGTGTTTTGACGTTTGATTGTCGAGAGCAAGCAAAATGTTGATTCCCAATGCGTATTTTTCATTCTCATTTTCACTCTGTATTCTTCTTCAAAGAATTGTGATTTGTGTAACATCAATGATTCAGCGTAAATGAATTAATGTAATTTTCATTTCACGGACCAAAAAAAATTATTATTGTTACTGTCCATTGTGAAAGAGAAGAAGATTGTTAAAATCGTTAAAACAAATCAGTTTTTTCCTTTTGGATAGAAATTAGATGAGAAACTTGTCGGGAAACTTTTGTTTTGGGAAATTTTTCGAAAAAAAAATTTCAAATTAATATTTCCTTCCTGTTCTGTGTGTAAAACGAAACAAGAATTTGGAGGGAAAAAACTAATTAAAATTTTCTCCCCCTTTGGTTATCATTTGTTATTCTCAATTTATTTTCTTATTAGTACTTTTTTTCTCTCCAAACGAATCGACGGAAAAATTCTTTTCGAGAATTTCGTTTCTCTAGAATTTTAAACTTTCAAAAGAATTTTTTTTGTTTTGTTTCCAATCGTTAACAATTGAACTTAATGAAAATGTTCATCATCATCATTGATGATGATGATGATTTCCATCGAATAATATTCCAAGGATGATGATCATCTTGGAATTAGCTTCAAAACAGAATGATCCAAATGCAAATGTGAATAATAATACAAAAAAAACCTAAATGCAAAATGGTCAAAATAGTCATAATGAAAGTCAATAATTTGTATAGTCATCAATTGGTGTGTCGAAATAGCCGAATCATCATCATCATCATTATTGTTGTTGTTGTTGTTGTTGTTCCGTTTCAAACAAACAAACATTAAACATTTTCAAGAGAAAAAAAGGAAATAAATATGCTATGAATGTTTTTTTTTGTTTTTGTTTCTGGAATCTCGTGTGTATCATTAACATCATCATAGCATCATCATAGCATTATTCCGTAACGAAAGGATTGTTTTTTTATGATTATTTGCCATTTCTGTTTTTTTCATTCATTCGTTTGTTTGTTTGCATGTTTTGTTTTGTTTATTTCGGTTGATGATGATCATCATCATTGTCTTAATACTTTTACTTTTAATCGAAAATCTTATTGTTGAAAATCGAGAGAAAAAAAACCAATCGAATCGAATCGATACTATTTTTATATCAGGAACAAAAAAAAAATACTCATCATTATAATTCTAATCTACATTTGGATGATGATGATGAGTTTTTGTCTGAATTTTTATAAATAAAAAGAAAAAAAACTAAACTTTGCTTGGTTGTAATTAGAGCATCAGAAAGAACTTGTAATCGTTTTTTTCGCATGATTGATCCATTGATGATGATGTTTTGCATCGTTTGATTGTAGTGTTTGTTTGTTTTGCTGTTTGGTTGATTTGTAATGAATCTTTCTTTTTTTCTATTTTGTTTAAAAAAATAAAATAGCTTACCTGGATGGATAGTACTGGAAATCCAATCACAAATGGTGTATCATATTCAACAACAAAATTATCGGATGGAAAACGTTGGAATGCAGCATTAAAATGGACAGTAGTTGCAAGTCGATCATTGGATGGACAACGTGTTACATGTCGTTCAGAAAATGCTGCATTAAAATCAGCAAGTTATGCACATATACAATTAGAAGTTCGATATCCACCTGAAGTTGAATTACGTATTGCATCAATAAATGATAATAATGATGGTATTGTACGTGAAGGTGATGATCTTACATTAGAATGTTTAGCAATTGGTAATCCATCATTAATGACATTCAAATGGAGTCGTGATGGTGTACCATTAAATAATGATGCTGATATTGCCGGTGCATCAGCATCAAGTGGTGACGGGACACCGCGATTAATATTTCGTCATATTGGTCGTGAATTTCATGGTACAGTTATTGCTTGTGAAGTAGCTAATAGTGTTGGTACAACACGTTCACGTTTAGATATAAAAGTTGCATTCAAACCAAGATTTGTTAAAATTCCTGAACCAGTTATTGGTTTAGCTAAAAATGAACATATTCGTCTTAATTGTAATATTGATAGTTATCCAATTGCACAAATTTATTGGCATCGTTTTCAACCAAAATTATTATCCACTGATTTTGTTGATAATAATAATTGGCAAACAATTGGTGATGGTCAATCGATACAGATTTCTGAAGCAGGTAGATATCGTTGTTTAGCTAAAAACGAAGCATTCGATGATGAATTAAAAGCCGAAACATTAGTATTTAATAAAGGTAAAATTTTCCTTTTTTTCGTTATTTACATGAAAACTTCAAAATCTATTCTTTTTTTACAGGTGCACCATTAATCCGTAGTCCATCAATACAATATGGTATTGAAAATGAACCAGTACGATTACAATGTATTGTTGAAGCAGTACCACCACCAACAAAAATTACCTGGTTTAAATTAAAACCATATCAACAGGTATGTTATTCACATTTTTTTTCACAATGGACAAGCGAAAAATAGTATTAGCAATTGACAAACAAAAATATCCAAGTGAATTCTGAAACAATGTTCCAGAATTGACAAAAAACATTTTGCATGCATTTATGAGATTCGTGATCAGGTCAAGCCAACAACGGGGTTTTTTCTCTGTGTATTTCCGATCAGAAAAAAAAGGAATATCGATTCTGTTTCGAAATGAAAACGGAAATGAATCGAATGATTCGAGCAAAGAAAAACGCCCAATTGAATTTGTACAAAGCGCAAAACACAAAACACAAAAAACAACTGAATATAGAAATGTCAATCAAAAAAAAAAAAAAAAGGTAATTGAACTTTTATGATCATCAAACAATGATTATTATTATTATTATTATCATTGTATCAATGATGATGGTAATCAAATGATGATTCAAATCAAACACCAAACACCCACCGAAATGAAACCAAAAAAACGCAATAATCATTTTGTTGACCCAGATTCATGTAAAATGCACATTTGATTTACAATTTTGAATTTGACGCCCAAAACAAAAGCGAAAAAAGATGCTTGGCTCCCTTGTAATTACAAATCTTACGGGTTTTTTTCAATAATTATTTTTTCCCATTTTAATTTTTCAATATTTAGCTACTTGGTGTTGATAATAATGAAGGTTATGAAATACTTGAAGAAGAAGAATCAGATGATTATTCAATGTTACAATCATCACCATCATATCAAACATTATCATCATCATCATCATCATCGATGGCTATGATTCAATCATCATCATCATCAATGCAAAACAATAATGAAAATAATAATAACCTTATTGATCAATTACCATCATCATTGGCATTATTACGATCAATTATTTATATGCGTCGAGCTAAAGATGTAAGTCTATATTTTATTAACATTCATTTTGATTTTAAACTCCAAAAAGAATCATTTAGTCAGTCAGAATCAGAATAGTGATGTGCTTTTCTCCAATTATACAAATAACTATCGATCGATCGATCGAAGAATATCATCCATAGGAATGAAACAGATGATGATGACTTTTATCTTGGAAAACAAAAAAAAAAAAAACATTCATAAAAATGATCAGGATCATTTCATGTTTAGGATTTTTTAAAATTAAACGGGAAAAAATTCCCCTGGAATTTTCTTTTTTGAAATGATCACTCCAAGAAGCAAAAAATCGATTTAATTTGAATCGATTTGGATCAAAATTATTCTCACCTAATGAGATTTATTAACAATAAAAACAGCTGACTATCATTATCATCCTCGTGATCATAATGATCATCGTGATGATATTCTTATTTTCAGAATAAATCCAATCAAAGATTCTAGTTTTGATTAGTAGTGATTTCAGTTTCTGTCAATACTAAAGTAATTTCAATTTTGTTTTGAATCTGTATTTGATTGTTTGGTTGTTTGTTTGTTCAATAATCGTAATCATCGTAATAATAATAATTTTCGAAAACAAAACAAAACAAGCAAAAATCATTTCGTTATTTAATTGGCCAAAATGATGATAATGTTATTAGATGTAATGCACAATTTGAATTTGAAATTTCCCTGAAAACACGAAGCATTGATTACTACTTACTTGGTGATGTTGTTGTTTAAATGATTTTATTGGCATACTTGAAAACTTTTGTGTATATTTCTGTCATTGATGTGATCATCATTCGATGATGATGATGATGATAATGATGGACAAACAAAACATGATCAATTTTTCGATCAATAAAATTGGTCATTGTTGTTGTTGTTATGGCATTCTTTTCCCCTTCAAAAAATTACAACAAAAACAAAAATATATAGAGCATACGGTTGTCATTTAATATTTTGTGAATACGAAAATGATTTTACGAAAATCAGAAAAATTTTGTATTAATTGTATATGGTGATTGGCTACTTTACTTTCATTTGCTTGTCATTGCTTCGTTAACATTTCATTTCTCATCTTTTTTTTCTGTTGTTGAAATTATAGATTTTCAATTTCTTTTACGATTGATTGACACATTTTATCTATCTGTTTGTTTGTTTGTATGTTTGGATGTTTCCCTATATATTTATCCAATCACACACGAACAAACAAATTTCAATTTATTGATTCGATTGAACATCATCATCATCATTTGGTTGATGTTTTCTCTTTCTCTTTCTCTATATTTATTTATATTCTTTGAATTGTTGAGTTTTAGCAAATGAAAATTATTAATTTGTTGTTGTTGAAAGTAAGCAAACATTATTATTTTACAAACGCAAAGGTTTTCGGTCAATGACTTGAATTTTGTATTCAAATATCAATGAATCTTTTCTTTGATATTCTTGGTTGAAACAATTATTTTTTTCATTTTCATTTTCTTTGTTTTTCAAAATTAAACATTTCTTTTTTGTTTTCTGGTTTAATTTCATAATTCTCTACCATTGTTAAACTGATGATTAATTCACCGAGAATTTTTATATATGGTTGTTGTTGTTGTTGTCTTTATAAATGTGAATTTTTATTTTCGTTTCGGATTCTTTCGTTTGGTTATTGTAGGAAAAAAAAATATCTGGCTTGTCTGTTTCTGGATCGGAGATCTTTTCTCTATTTGCCATTTGGCCACATAGTTGAAATGGCCAAACATTTTTTTTTTCTTTTCTTTTCATTCTTGGATTCTACATGTTAAGATTTTCACATTTTTCAAATCGAATCTCAAAGTGTGTATGTATGTATTTGTGATTCTTTCAAAACCAATCTTTTTTTTTTTTTTTTTTATTTTTTTTTTTTTTTTTTTCCCGGGTGTGTTCTAATTTTTTTTCCNCAATTTATTGATTCGATTGAACATCATCATCATCATTTGGTTGATGTTTTCTCTTTCTCTTTCTCTATATTTATTTATATTCTTTGAATTGTTGAGTTTTAGCAAATGAAAATTATTAATTTGTTGTTGTTGAAAGTAAGCAAACATTATTATTTTACAAACGCAAAGGTTTTCGGTCAATGACTTGAATTTTGTATTCCAAAATCAATGAATCTCTTCTTGATATTCTTGGTTGAAACAATTTTTTTTCTTCATTTTCTTTGTTTTTCAAAATTAAACATTTTTTGTTTTCTGGTTTAATTCCATAATTCTCTACCATTGTTAAACTGATGATTAATTCACGAAGAATTTACTTATGGCTGTATGTTGTCTTTATAAATGTGAATTTTCGTTTTCGTCTCTCGTTTGGTTATTGTTGAAGGAAAAAATATATTGGCTTTTCTGTTTCTGTTTCTGCTTCTGTTTCTGTTTCTGGAGATCTTTTCTCTATTTGCCACTTGGCCATAGTTGAAATGGCCAAACATTTTTTCTTTCTTTTCATTCTTGGATTCTATGTTAAGATTTTCACATTTTTCAAATCGAATCCCAAAGTGTGTATGTATGTGTGATTCTTTCAAAACCAATCTTTTTTTTGCTAAGCTTCTTTTTTTTCTCTCTCCAGTGTGTGTCGTAATTAATTTGCCTTTTATTTCTCGCTCTCTGGGTAATGTTTTTGAAAGTGTTCCAATTCTGTACCAACTCTTTTCTTTTTTTTCCTCCTTCCTCAGTAGATTTATTTCATTTTGGACTGTATTTTTTTTTCTCTCTTGCAATTTAACGGTTCTGTATATGAAAGGGAAAAATACAAATGATTCTTACAATCGTAAAAAAAACGACAGAGAGAATGAGACTTGATTTACACACAGCAAAAAATATTAGCCGGTCAGTTTTTTCGTTCGTTTGTTTGTTTGTTTGTTTCGTATATGAATCTTATCGTAGCTTTTTTTATTCTTTTCTTTCAGTCATATTAGACATACCAAACAAAACAATATGACAAAGAACAACCAATTTGTTTCTGACCAATAGAAAAAGTGAGATTGTGTAATAAACGTATCAAACAAACATTTGTTTGATACTTGTTTGTACATTGAGATTTACATTGATTTTTCTTTGAACTGTCAGAATATGTTTTTTTGTTTCCTATGCCATTGTATAGCCAATATGTTTTTTTTTTTGGATAATTTTTATCGATAATTAACACTACACCAATACGCATATGGAAAAAAAATGGAGATTGACATCTGCCCAAATAAACACAAACAGAAAATTATTATTTTGAAACCAAAAATCCAAAATCAAAAACATATGTAATAAGTAACATTCATTTGTTGTTTGTTTGTTTGTTGTTATAACTTTGTAATCATTTTATCCGAACAAATCATTGTCCAGTGCATTTGATTAATTCCAATTACAATTGCCATGTTCCTGTATCATTATTTGGTTGGATATAGACAAACTGTTACCTCGATTTTGTGAATAACAATCAGGATGATAAACAGGATTTCTGACACAAAAAAAGGAAAACATTTCAATGAACCAGAATCTATATCTGATATTCTTTCTAAATGGTCAATCTGTCAATTGATATGATAATTGATCAAGAAGTAAGTCTAAACGGAAGCCAGCTAAGACGAAGAAAAAGAAAAAATCCATGTCATTTGCTAGATAAATCAATGAACAGGATACATTGGAGAAAAATATCAGTATCAAATTTTTTTTCATTTGCTTGTATTTGAGTGAGTGAGTGATTGAATTCATTTCTTTTTCTTTTTCGTTGGCCTATTCTCAAACATTTCATTTCATTAATATTTTTTTTTTCATATTATCAATGTATTGATAGACAAAAAGTGAATTACCATTACAAAAAAAAAGAATACTGTTTATTTTCATTGTGTGAATGTGATTTACTTTGTTTATTCAGTTAGACTGTGAGTATCAATAAGCTTTTTTCGTTTTCCAAGTTTTGTTTTTCTTTGGATTTTTTTCAGTAACGACAATTTTCTGCTACATATATGTATGTGACATGAATTGATAATTTTTCTTTTCTTTCTTTCTTCCGATTCGATTGAATCGTCATCATTCGATCCATATTAGGTGTTAGATTGGAAAATGAGGAGAAGAACCGATACATTTGTCGTTTTGATATTTGAATTTATTCAAACAAACAAAAAACAAAAAAAAAATAACAAAATTGGATAATCTTCAAGTGAAATTCAGTAATATAATGTTTAGACCAAATCTGAACTCATTTTAACCGAATTTTTTTTTTCACTGAAAATTATCATGCAATCAATCAATCGAATTGATCGATCAACGTTTGCATAACGTTTGATAAACTGATAATCAAATAATCTCTTATCCTGGTTCTCCTATCTTTTTTATTTCAAATGAAACAGCCAATTGACCCTTTTTTTTCTTTTCTCTTTTTCATTTGATGATGCTATTAATCATTTTATAATTGAAAAACAAACTGAAAAAAAATATTTGAAATTCTCATTACCCAATCTGGCTACGGTGGACACATAAATAATCATTTGTCAGAAGCAACAAGAATTCAAAAGCAAACAAACAAACAGAATAAAAATGTTCAAAATTGAAAAAAAAATTTCTCTTGTTTTCTTCTCCCAATCAAATGGATGACAATTGTTTTCTCCTCTTAGATATCGTTGTTAAATGTTTGCTTGTTTCAATTTGATTCGATTTTCAATTTTCAATTCGAAGAGAAAAAAAAGAAGATAGAAAGAAATTCTTGTCAGATAATGAAATAATGATAAACGGGAATTTTAAAAAAAATAATACAGACAGAATCTTCACATCTATTCATCACACTCTGTGTGTGTGTGCCAAGTTTCAAAAACAAATATATTGATTATATCCATTTCGATTCGGCTACTGTGTTGGTTAGTGCCCGAAAGCAATCGTTGTTGTTTTTTTAGCATCATTTTTCTTTCTCAGTCTCTCTCTCTCTCTCCCTTGCTTTCTATCCTCACAACGTTTCGATATCAGTTTTGATCGGTTTCTTCTTCTTCGCGAGATAATTTTTTTTTTCGTTTTCGTTTCATTCATTATTACTGATGATGAAAAATGATGGCTAAAACTCGACTGAAGAAGAAGAAGAAGAAGAAGGTTTGTCCATTTCTATCATTCCAAACAATATATATAGAATATGATAAAGTTTAAAGTGAAACTTTGTTGTTGTTTTTCTTCCATATAATTGAAAACTACTATTATTTTTTCCCTTGTTTTTGCTTTAACCTTACCTCATTGTACTTTATCAAGATAATTAATATTCAATATTTTTTTTTTTTGGCAAAGGGATTTCTGATCAATTTATCAAACACACACATAAACATGAAATTGCGCCCAAAACAACAAATGATTGAATGAATCAATCGACAAAGAGATTTAGCAATTTTTTTTGGCACATCATTGTTTTTGCTTGGAATGAGAGAGGGAAGAAAGAATGAAATTTTGCAATTTCATATTTCTAATTGATTTTTTTTCAATCTAAAGATTTGAAAATCTATTTTCCTCATTGTTGTTGTTGTTGTTGTTATTGATCAATTATCGAGATTGATTCATTCATTCACAATCGAAATTTGAGATTTTCTTTCTCACTCGTTCTAAATCCTATATGTATGTAACAATGTAATCAAAAAGTTTTTCGTTTCAAAATAATAATAATCATCATCATCATCAATATTTTTGTTTTGAGGTAGGATTCATATATCTAATTGAAAATCTCTGATGATGATGATGATTAGAAATGTTGGATTATTCCATTCAAGAATCCAACATCCAATCAATCTAGGTAAAATTGGCATTCTGCTTGCTCTTCTTCTTCTTCTTGTTTTCATTTAGCTAGATTCTTACAGTTTCCTGGCTATTAGGATAATGATGTTTTCTTCTTTGCTGGATAAAATTAGAATTTTCTATGCGGAAAAAATCTATGGATTCTCAATTCGGACAAAAAAAACAAAACAAACACACATAGATAGATAGAATCCACAAAAAAAAACATAACATATCAAAAAGACTGTATATGTGTATGCAATGTAGGAAATTACAATCTTTATAATTATATCTCTTATATATCTTGTATGTATGCGTATTACATAACATTCATCTTAGATCTTCAACAAAATCAAAAGAAGTAAAAAAATCTTTATTTTTCTTTTTTTGATTCAATAATAATTAATTATTAGTTACAAAATGTATTGGATAGATAGATAGATAGGCAGAAACAAAAAAAATTACCTAAAATATATCTTATATTGATAATGATGATGATCAGGTATCATCAAATCAAAACATTTCTTCTTTCTCTGGTCATTATCATCATCATCATCATTATTCGTTTTCAATAAATTTCGTAATGTGGCATTGCCAAAATAGACAAACATACACAGACACTTACTGTCTTTTTTTGTGTATAAATCATTGATCCTTGCGAATCGAATTAGAATTTTGATTTTTGATTTCTGATTTTTTCCTTTTTCTCCCTTGTAATATTTCCCCATTTGAACAAAAACATAAAAGCCTAGAAGCCTTATATAAGCAAAAAATGTTCATTATCATCAACATAATTATAATCAGTATATTATGAGAAAAGGGATTGATCTTAAGCATCATTATTATTATGATGATGATGATGAGAATTTTCCATAGAAAACGAATGAATGAAAGAAAATTATTCCAATTTATATAGCCTATAGCATTTTTTTTTATGGAAAAAGAAAAAAAATTTGATGTTTTTAGCTGCTACTTGATTTTTTACTTACTTGAATCGAATAAGTTTTCCATTCATTCATTCATTCATTTTTCAAATGAAAAACAAGTAATTATTTTATGAGAATTGTGTCAATATAGTCGCCATTCATTCATTCATTGAATATTATCTGTTTTAAAAACTAATTTTTCAAATAATATTTCCAATTTTTTCAGTCTGATTTTGGCCAATATAATTGTTCGGTTTGGAATCAATATGGATTTCAATCACAAATTATTACATTACAAAAACAAAGTAAGTTTACCAAAAAAAATGTGGATGTTGATGTTTTGCTAATTACAAATTGATTTTTTTTAAAAACAGGCAATATATTATCACCATTAGTATTAACATTAAGTGGTATTATTTGTTTTGCTATTGTATTTGTATTGGTTACATCATTATTAATATTTATTTGTATAAGATCACAACGTTTAACAAATAATAGTAATGATCATCATTCATTAACAACAAAAAAATTAGATTCATTAAATCATGATCAATCAATTACAACAACAACAACAAGACGTTCTGTTTGTAATGGAACATCATCAATTGATTGTAATGGAATGATAATCGTCGCTAATGATGATTATAAAATAAATTCAATGGAAAAAAATATATTAATGAAAAATACTATAATGAAAATGAATGGTTCAAATCAAATTCTAACAACATTGACCACCAACACCACCAATAATGGTAATTTAACAAATCATCATCATCATCATCATCATAGTGATCTATTGACAACAGCCAACAATACTAATAATAATGGTTATAATGGATTACCACCAATCTATAATAATAATGATTTTTTACATTCAAATAATGATTCATATACACAATATTCACAATTAAATAATTTAATTACAAGAACAAATAGTAATAATGGTGGACAATTGATAGCAACAACAACATCATCATCAACAGCAGGAGCAGCAGCAGCAACTACCTATAGTTCGGGTCAATATTTATCAACTTCATTAAATGATTATGGTGGTGTTTCGGATAATATTGATCATTCAAGTCATTGTAATGCTAATGGTTTACCAATATCATCATATATTCATGATAATAATAATAATGATAATAAGGTAAATTGAGAATTTATTTATAAAAACATTCAAATATTCTAATTGGATTTTCTATATTTATTTACAAATTTCAATTAGGCAAAAATATCAATATCAAATTATTATCATCAACAACAGGAGCTTCAAAATAATAATAATAGTAATAATAATCTACATTTATATTCAACTGTCAAAAAAAATCATCAAAATCATCATTCATCATCAATGTCAACAGATAATTTGGATAAAAATATTACAAATGATTTGCTTTTATTGAATAATAATAATAATAATAATAATAATAATTGTTATGCAAACACTACAAATACAAATAATAATAATAATAATAATAATTTACGTTTAATTTCAAAAATTGGTGATCAATTTATTAATCCATATGTACGAACATCATCATCATCATCATCCGCTACGGCTGCTAATATGAATGGATTACCAACACAGCCATCATCCATAACTATGAATCATTATAGTAATGTTATTGATTCAACAAATGATCGATCAATAATCAATATTATTGATCATCATGATGATCGTCATTTATTAAGTGCTGGTGTTTATCATACATCATTATCATCATCATCAACAAATAATAATAATCATCATCATCGTTATAAAACAAATAGTCTTGGTGGTAATAGTAGTAGTAGTGGTGTTATTAGTACAGGTGGTAGTTCACCACCTGGTGGTCATTCACCAATCGGTAGTATTAATAATAATACCGGTAATATTCATAATGGAACACATGTATAAATTTCCTTCTTCTGCCTCCACTCAATTCAATGTTGTTTTTTTTCTATGAAGAATTTTTTAAATTCTTTCTTTCGTTTTTATTGTAAATTTTTTTCTTTTTTTTCTGTTACGATTATTGTTATTATTATTATTGTTGTTTTATAATAATATAATTTTACAGTTTGTTTGAAAACAAACGAATGAATGATGTGGCCATATAACAGAATTTTTCTCTCTCTCATTTCATCGTGATTCTCAAATATACAAAGATCCAAAGATGATCCAATGAATGACCATATCACCATGTCATAATTTTTTCTCTCTCTATTCTCCTGTACAAATCGAGTCAAATATTTTCATTTGCTGTATCCATCCATTGGAGTAGATCATCATCAATTATCAATTTTCGGATGTAAAAAAAACAACAAACATTATTTTTTCCATTTCATTGTAAAAAAAAAAACATTATAATCATCATTATTTGCATAATAATTGTATTTATAAATATTTTAAAAATTTAATAAATAAAATTAATAAATGAAATTAATTATAAAAATCGTAAAATGATTACTAAACTAATCTAATAAAATAGCTAAAAATGGTGCTAACATTTTGGCTATTTTTTTTTCGCCGCTTCGTTACAATTGTAATTTTTTCTCGTACACATGCTACCATCTACCAAATTAGATGTGAACTAAATCGCCCATAGGTGTTTATACACAGAATTCAATGAAAATAAAAGAATTTCTTCGAATGATAATGATGGTAATGTTTGAAATCACAAGATGGCAGCATCGATTCCGTCAATAACCCATAATACGAATAAAATTCAATTTTAAAATTTTCAAAAAGAAAAATCCAAAATCAACGATGTTGATGATGATGATAATGGCAACCGAATTGTGTAATCTTGTTATACGATCCAACAACATTCAAAAAAAATGACTAAAGAGAACAAGACAAAACAAACAAACATTGGTGAAATTGATGTTTTCCTTCACATCAACACTTTATATGAATATAAAGAGAAAAGTAAATAATAATAAAAAAACCGTTATGATAACATTGACATTTAAATTCAAAACGTCAAATTTTATAAACTTTAAATTTCAAGAACAGAAAAATCACTACATTTTTTTCAAACTAAAGAATAAACCCCGAGTCATAACAATGAGGGTTTTTTTTTCTCTCTCTCACTGTTCTTGTCTGCCAAACAAATCATTGAAGTTGATGATGATGATGATGATGCACACTGTTGATGTTTACCCAAATTTTTTTTCCCATTGAAAAGAAAAATAAACTTTGCAAAACATCATCAACCAGAATCAGCATCAGGAAAAAAAAATAAATCATCGAAATTAACACCGCAAAAAAAATAGGAGAACTTTTGGGAAAAAAAGCTTTTAGATTCTTTTTTGATGATTTGTATTTACATTCGGATCTAAAATCTTTCATTTTTTTCTATTTCAGATGGAAAATTTATTTTCAAATCTTCTCTTTTTTTTCGTTATCATTTTTCATCATTAAAAATCAATGAAGAACAATGTTTGTTTCAATCATATTCGTTTTCGTTTGTTTCAATAATTTAAATCTGGTAAAATAGAAATTTAAAAATTCATTAGAAACAACAACAACAAAAAAAAAATTTCCTAGAATTTTGATAGATACGTACACTTATTTTGTTTGTTTGACATCCATCTTCATTGGTTTCGGATAATTTCTCTCTCTCTCTCTCTCTCTCTCTCTCTCTCTCCCAAGTTGTATCATTTTTCAGCAGATTTGGCATCGACGAAAGCCACCTGGTTGGCATGGCCGAATCGGTTGTGATTGACTCAATAAAAATGATACATCACCACATCTACGCTTCGAATTGACGATTTAATTTAATTTCTTTTTTTTTTTTTT